AAAATTAAAAATAGAACTACCATATGATCCAGTGATCCTACTTCTGGGAACGTATCCAGGGAAATGAAATCATTATCTAGAGATCTCTGCACTCTGTCTTTGTTGTATCATTATTCTCAGTAGCCAAGGTATAGAAACAACCCAAGTGTCTGTTGATGGAGAACTGAATAAACAAAATGTACAGCTGTATACAATAGAGCATTATTCCACCAGGAGAAAAAAGGAAATCCTGCTGTTGAGGACAATGTGGATGAACCAGAAGGGCATTATGCTAAGTGAAATAAGCCAGACAAATAGTGCATGATGTCACTTACATAGGGAACCTTAGAAAACAAAACCAAACCTCATAGAAAGAGAGTAGAACGGTGGTAGCCACGGATTAGGGAGTGAGAGATATGGGAAAAGCTGCTAAAAGGGTCCAAACTTTCAGCTGGAAGGTAAATAAGATGGGTCCAAAAACCAACGCTGAATGCTCTTTTGGGGGTTTCTCTTTTCTTTGTCAAAGCGAAATCAACTTTGGATTTCTTTCATTTAGCGAAACCAGGTACTGACGCAGGTCTTAGGTAAAAGCGAAGTGGCGTAACTTGAACTTTTGAAAAGCACGAACTACCTGGGTCTGTCTCTTCTACAGGTGTTCTGTGCCAGTGAGAGCCAGTTAAACAGTCTCTGTAATCAGTATCAGATCAGTGATCTATGCGATCACTTCAGCTGAAGTTCCAAGTCTGCAGTCAGGAAGCTGGGTGGGAAGAATGGGGAGGGAGGAGTGAGGACAAGCCGGTCCCCAAGAGAACAGACTAGAACTGACAGTCTCTCCCTGCCTCGGGCTCTGATGTCTGGGGGCTCCTCCAGGAAAAGCCCGTAAAATTTGTCACAGCAGGAAAGACACACCTGGAGCTGGGAGCCGAAGGAAGACCCCACACCATGAAGGGGAGCCAGCAGAACTGTGACCACCCTGAGCAACTCCTGGAGCCTCAATACCAAAGCTGCCGCTTCTCTTGGAAAAGGGAGGGGGAGGCGCGCAGGTGTATCATGTTGCCGCATATTCTTGTGTTTGAAATATTTTACAATTTACAAATAACTTAAGGAGGGGAATCCATTTGCCTTCACTGTAGCACTCCTAGGGATTCAGAATCTACTCCTTACTGGGAAAAGCAGACTCTTTTTGAAAAAACCAGTTTAAACCTCATGTAAGAGAGTAATCTTCCCAGTGAATAACAGGCCAGGTGGAAACGAGCCTCGTGATTCCAATTTCATCTGTTGTCTTAAGTGTTTGCAAAGTAATACTATACCTTCACATTAGCAGGAGAGATATATGATAGGTTTTTGCTTGAAATCGGATTCCTGAGTACTCATTACACAAAAGCAAACTGTATCATCACACAGAATTAACTATGTGCTTTGCAAACCTGAACACACAATTCCTTCACATCTTTGCTATTTTCCTAAGCTTTGTTTCTGAGCTGGGGATAACTTTGGCGAAAACCTATATATTTAAAAGTTAATATAAATATTTCATAATGCGCAGATGCTGCAGCAAAGTACCAAATAATGTTTGAAGTGTTTTGGCAAAACTTATTGTTAGCTTCAACAATTAAGCACATTCAGAAGACTGGGTTTTCAGATCACATTCCATTAAGTGATAAACTATGCTACTAAACTATAAATCAAAAATACAATTAAAAATAGTCCAAATTGGGGGTGCCTGTGTGGCTCAGTCGGTTGGGCGACTGACTTTGGCTCAGGTCATGATCTCGTGGTTTGTGAGTTTGAGGCCCTCATCAGACTCTGTGCTGACAGCTCAGAGCCTGGAGCCTGCTTTGGATTCTGCATCTCCCTCTCTCTCTCTGCTCCTCCCCTGCTCGTCCTCTGTCTCTGCCTCTCAAAAATGATAAACATTAAAAAAAATAGTCCAAATTAAAGCCGCTACCGCAGCCCTATTTTAAATGCAATTAGGAAAAACAGTCTTCTGTAACCTATCATGCACTCATTTCAAAGCCAAAATACATCATTTTACTGCTGGAAACAAGTTCTCTCCAGGTAGTTGGTGATCAGCTGCAAATTAGTTAAAAATAGAGAAAGCAGGCACAAAAAGAAAGTTGTTTACCTGTTTGTCAATTTCTTTTCTGGATTGTTAGAGTTTTAGGATTTTTTTCCAGTTTGGATTTGATTCTGGGTATGTTACATTTAACATCTTTCCTCAGTATGTAAAAGTACAAATGAGTCCAAAGGAATGAGTAGAAATTTCAGGAACAGAATGGTATGCCGGGCTTTCATTCATTTGTGTGTGGGATTCATCTTTGGCATGAAAGTTTTTTAAAATTAAAATTTATTACTTTGGCATAGTGACAAAAATTGGGTCAATTCTACATCTGTTTTTCATTTCTCTGGTTACTATGCTCCGTTTCTTAAAAGGCTTCAGGCTTATCACATTGTTGTATAATCCTTCCAGCTGGAGATAACCAGTGTTAACATTTTTCTCTCTTCTTTGGTGAGGTACATATTAAATACGACTCATTTAAAAATGAATTACTTTGGGGGCACCTGAGTGGCTCAGTAAGTTGGGCATCTGACTTCAGCTCAGGTCATGATCTCATAGTTCATGGGATCGAGCCCTGCGTCGGGCTCTGTGCTGACAGCTCAGAGCCTGGAGCTTGCTTCGGATTCCCTGTCTCTCTCTCTCTCTCTCTCTTTCTCTCTCTCTGCCCCTCCCCCACTCAAGCTCTGTGTCTCTCTCTCAAAAATAAATAAACATTAAAAAATTTAGAAAAATAAAAAGTGCTAATTAACAAATATAGTCAAATGCCCAGAGTTGCTACCTGCATTCAGGGATAGAGTTACCCCCCCAACAATGTAATTAATCAAAATCCAAACAACATAATTAAAAATTGATATGAGTAAAGACAGGACTTTTGTTTAAGCATACCACCCGACACTTTTTGGGTGTTAAATACAGAGAGATGGCTCTTTGTAATTGCTACTTATTATCTATTGATGGTGATTCTGAAACTAAGTTCCTAAAACTGATTTGGAACAAGAACAATGTATCTGCAACGGGCAAACATAATTGGACTTGTTATTTTGAAACAGAACGAATAAAATTCATGAATAACAGACCATAATTCTATCTGTGGAAAATTTGTGGCAATCTATCCTTCTGTAGACATCTGTCTTCTAAGCATCTTCCCCAAGACAGGACATCGTTATGACCCAATGACACAGTGGCCCCTGGGTGCTCCATATAACCACTCTAGTCATTATCCCTAGACAGATGCCACCCCCCCCCCCCCGAGTGAGAGAAAAGAAATAAGAGAAACCCACGATCTTCACCTAGATGAGGGCGATGTTGCGCTCGTGGCTCCAATGGGTGATGGATTGCTTAGTCAACTAATAGCTCATAACCCTTATTTTACAGCAGCAGCAGCAGCATCTATCTGGCTTCTCCGAGGCATATGGCGGCCAGAGTCCTCTGGAAAGAGTGTTGCAGGATCACTTTGAGGTAGTGAGAGCGGTAGCTGGGATAAAGAACCATTAGCTAGGAAAGGCTAATGGAAACAAGTAAAAACACAGAAGGATCAGGGTACCCGTGTGTGGCATGGAGATGAAGGCAGCACGTGGATTGTTTGAAGACTCAGAGCTCCAAGGTTATCAATATTGGTCAGAAAGGCCCTCTTGATGTCTTTCATTTGAGTGATTCACAGATGCACCTGGGAGACATTTACACACACCAAGAGGAAGCTGAGGTGGATAGAGCCTTGCTTGCCCGATTCCTGCCAGGAAGGCTGGGGCACGAGGAAGGAACCTTTAATAGATTTGTTCCTCAAAATGCCATCGCTAATATTCCTTGATTGTTCTTCAAATTGATGCACTTCAAAATCTCTGATATTCCCTTCAGCCTCAGTCTAATGCAGCAATACTGAAATCACGTGTTTGTGTTACTTGATTTTTTTCTGAATGCATATTGAAGCAAATACATGGCCATGAAAATAAAAATGTTGATCCCTGCTCCCCTAAAGTCACCTAGAGGCCCCCGTGTATGCATCCCACACTTTGAGAAGCTGCCCTAACACGGTCCTTGAAAAAACAGGGGTTCAAAACTCACTGAGCTATGTCGTGTGATGGAAGCAAGCCAGGAGAGCCCAGGGCCCTTATGAGCTTCGGGGTGCAGTGAAAAGTGTGAGCCTTTCAGCAGGCCCCCAGGAAAATGCCTCAGCTCCCCCCCCAACTTCTTGGAGTCCTCAACTCCCAGGGTCAGCCAGAGACAATAAACGGCCACCTGGAAATCAGCAAATGAGAATTTCCTGGCTTGAGATCGCCCTACCCTAATGTCAGCTCTGTAACAGGACCCGGAGGCTCACCTCCAAAGTCAAGGCAATTCTGGGTGTAATCGGCTCAGGTGGTATCAAATAAGAGCCAGGAAAATAGTGACAGCGAAAGACAAGGAGCAGGTGGCAGGGGGCTGGGTCAGAGCAGGCAAGTCTCAGATAGCTCGTTTTTCTAAGGGAAAAAAAAAGGCAAGCTTGAAAATGGGTCTGTTTGTGCCCATCTGGCCTAGCAAGTCTCCTTGGCTTGGGGGCCGCTGCAGCTACATGCTTTTTTCTGTCCTGTCCTCTTTGATTTTAAATCTCTCTTATGGTCGTCTAACACCCAGCAGCAGAAAATATATAAGCAAGAGTGATTTTATGCTCTTTATATAAATCTCTTCATATTAACTGCAGATGCTGATAACTCCCTGACCAAAATCCTACCCTGACGGTGCCATTTGTGACTCCCCCCACCAACCTGTTTTCTCTGTTTGCTTGACTTCCATTGTGACTTCCTTAGGGCTTGATGGGACCAGAAATCTTTCTAAAAGCCCTCAGCCCCCAAATTGCTTTCAGCCCCCAAATTACTTTCATCATTGCTCTACCTTGCTGAGAAAAAACAAAACAACAAAAAACCAAAAACAAGCAAACAAAAAGCAACCACACACACACACACACACACACACACACACCAGCAGATGATGAGAAACGTATCTTTATTGGACGAATTTTAAAGGCATTGTCTGCCAAGGGCCTTACAGGAGTCATCAGGGCATACTGACCACAGGAAATTCATGAGTGGCTGCCTTATTTCCTCTCTAAAACAGGGAGCAAATTGGAGAAGCACATGTGGGGGAATGAGTAAATAAATTAGGGGGAGGTAGTGGGGTTTCCCATTCCTAGGAGCTTTGGAGGCCTTCCGGCTGATTGTGTCTATCTCCACAGCCTGGGGCTTTTAAGAATGCACCATTTCCTGGAATTCTAGAACAGAAGAGGGTGAGAAAACGTCATTGGAGATGGCTTGGTAGTTTACAGAGAGGCTGTGTGGCCAGTGACCACTCCGAAGAGGAAAGGAAGCAGGTTGTCAGATGATAAACTTGGCCCCTCTCAAGGGCGCAAAAGGAGGGGGGGGGGAATGTGTCCCTGAATGCAGGTACAGATGGTCTATAGCATCCTGTCTTCCTGCATAATCTAACAAACACCTTTAGCTTTGCAATAGAGCCCTTTGTACTAGAACTTGTCAGCCCAAGTCGCGGCTGGGTGGCTCAGTTGGTTAAGCATCCGACTCTTGATTTTGGCTCATGAGCAGTTTTGGGGGTTTGAGCCCCACAACCTGCTCTGAGCTGACAGTGTGGCGCCTGCTTGAGATTCTCCCTCTCTTTCCCCCCCCCCCCCCCCCCGCTTGCACTGGCTTTGGCTCTCTCAAAATAAATAAATGAACTTAAAAAAAAAAAAAAGAACTTGTCAGCCCAGTCGTTTCTGACGACACACGGATTTGGTATAAGGACCTATTGCAAGCTGGGATCACTCAACTTTCTGTCTGGCTGCTTTAAGATACAGATGGAGTGTTTTCTTCCTCCTTCCTACAGATGTAGGAAACAATGGAGTGGGCCTTTGAACTCCCTTGTCTCTGCTGAACTCTAAATTTACCCCCCAAGAGTTTATATTACTAAAAGAAAGACAACAATGATGATGGTAACAATAATGAGTGGCTGCTACAGACAGAAACGGAAAACAGGAGACTTGCTTTCTATTTCTCAGTACGCTTCACCTATTTGGAATTTTTCTGTGTTAGATTTAAATAAATCCATCTTCTCTTACCTAAACTATTTTTCTGAGCTATCTACAGAAGCTACATTAACTCCTGTGTGGTATGTTATAGGGGTATCATTTTTGATAGGTTTTTAAAATGAGGATCTAAAGAAGCAGTTTTTAATCTCCAATTAGTACTTCCATAAAGACCATGTGTAAATTCTCCTGGGCTGGCATGCACAATGTTGCTAAAAAGCATGTAAGCAACATGCTTGAATCAGGTTAAAATAATCCTACAGCCATGTAGTTATGCTAAAATTCGAATATAGGGCTCTGCACACAGAAGACCCCATACACAGTATTTGACCTATTCTCTAACATTGTCCACTCAGTGGGCTAATGTCCAATAAAATGTGTTTGTTTAAGCCCTTAAAAGAGAAGAGGCTTTCCTATGCAAGTCAAGAGACATTTTGGGGGTGCCTGGGTGGCTCAGTTGGTTAAGCATCTGATGTCAGCTCAGGTCATGATCTCGTGGTTCCCAAGTTTGAACCCCGTGTCAGGCTCTGCACTGACAGCCCAGAGCCTGGACCCTGCTTCAGATTCTGTGTCTCCCTCTCTCTCTGCCCCTTCCCCACTTGCACTTTCTCTCTCAAAAATACATAAACATTAAAAAATAGATATTTTTGACATGAGACACACTTGAGAATGTCAGTCCTTCACTTATTCAGAGGGGCTCAAATCCCAGTAGTGACAATTCCTTATATTAGTTTCCATTTGCACTGGGGTGTCTTGCAAATCATTAGCCAGGCAATAGCTAGTCCCCTGGTCAGGAGAAGGATATCTTCTGGGTCATAGACAGTGAGGGACTCACAGGACCAGCTTCTACCATACAACCCCAGACACTGTGCTAGTCTCTACATGTATCATTTGTATCCTCACAAGTAGGCCCATTTTACAGATGACAAGACCAAAGCTCAGCAAGTCTAAGAAAGAGAGATGTTAACTAATCGTATCTGCCTGATCTCAGGGCCCAAGTCCCCCAATTGCTTTGGGAGCTAAGTTCTGTTGGGCTGAGTACAGGTGCGAACGTACCGTCAGCCCCGATTTTTCCGTCGCCATCATTATCCGCAGCCGCCATCAGGGACTTGGTCTCCGACTCTGTCAGCTCCCTAGCACTGCTCTCAAATTTCTGGAGGAAAAACCTGCGGGGTAATAGAGATTCCAGAACTTTTCTGAAAGGCCACACATGTCTGCACTTACCCTTTCTTTTGCTCTTGAAGCAAACCGTCTGTTCCCAGCAACTGAGATATTCAGTCAAAGGTCTTTGCAAGCCAAACTCACCTTCCTTGTAGAAACTAACGTTGGGTATTTTATTTTTAAAAGTTGTTGTTGTTGTTGTTGTTGTTGTTTTCAGGGGCTGCTGGGTGGCTCAGTTGGTTAAGCAACTGACTCTTGATTTCAGCTCAGGTCACAATCTCATGGGTTCATGAGTTCAAGCTCCCCATTGGGTTGGGTTGGGTTGACAGCACAGAGCCTACTTGGGATTCTCTCCCAAGAGAGCAGGGAGAGAATCCTCTCTGCTCCTCCACTGTGTGCATGTGTGCACATGCAAACACACACACACACACACACACACACACACACACACTGTTTTTCAAAAACAAATAAACTTTTAAAAATATTTAAAGAAATAAAACTTTTCCCGGAGTTTTGTTAATAAGTCCATTTGCCAAAGAAAAACCCTACAATGAATGGATTTTTGCACCTACAGTCACTCCTCAGTGCCCACGTTTAGTGCCTTATGTGGAGAGATGCATGAAGAAACACTGACCAAACCGGCCTCCACTGTGCCCAGCCCGGCCAGCAACGTCAGGCTTAGGACAAAACTTACTTAAGCTCTTCTTCATCCAGATACCCGCTCTGGTCATTGTCTATGAACCGAAAAACATCCTTCACCTGACTGGCTGACATCTTGGAGAGGCCCGAGGTCTGGAAGAATTTTTGGGGTTCGAAAGTATCTGGGTCTGAAACACAGAGAGAGAGGCTCACCTTCTGTATCGAGGCCAAGGTGCTCAACACATAGATCATCAAAAGCCTTCCTTGGGCTATCATTGAGCTACGGGGATGCTCTACTCTTGATTTCTATGAAAAGACAAAGGTTGTGTTAGCTAACTTGAATTTAAATAAGGACTTGGGACAGACACATACATAACAAAAAATTAAAACAAACAAACAAACAAAAAGACAAGGAGGGGGCTGCATCTGGTGCAAGATTTTTGAGGCAGCCCAGACTGGGCAGCTTGGTGATCGCATCTCTGGTCTCCTTCACCTTACCTGTCCATTTGCTTTTATCCACTTCTTGTCCCTCTCCTCTGGGCCTCCCCCCTCCCTTTCTACAGGCTGTGTGTCCAAGACTCCAGAGACACTGGTCTAACTGGTGGGGTGAAATTCAGTCACTGGGCTCCAGCAGTCTACATGGCACCCCCAGGCTTCTTTTTTTTCACTTTTAGTACGTTCCTTTGGTCTTCCAGAAATGTAACCATATGCTCAGATCTCTTATCTCTATAATTTTAGTCTATGGTTGAGGACCATTTTATTCTCGAATCCCACGAATTTTCAAAAGTTCACATTTTTAACTTTCGTGGCTTTGCTGGAGGTGTGAATACGTGGTAAATACCCACCCCTGCCACATTGCCCTTTACCTTGGCACTCCTGTAGGGCTGCGGCAATGTCGTCAGCACTAAGGACATCCGTGATACTCATTTTCCCCCTGTTCACACAGAGCACATGAGATGTGGTAAGTAGCAAGCAGGAACACGCATGTTCAGGGGCACGACTCCCTCCAAGGTGCACTGAAACTGTGGGGAACGTGATAAGCGTGGTATTATGTTAAGTGATGGGACGGAATATCTATGTAAAAGCCATAAGCAGAAAAGATCCCAGCCCCCTTTGTCTCAGTGCCTTCTCCTGAATGTTCTTCAAAGACAAAATTTTTAAAATGCAACTTAAAGAATGATTTGATTCCACGGTTTTAGAAAAACTATATTTGCACAATCATTCACAGAGCCATCTACAAAACATCCAGAAGTGAATCGTGTTACAAATGCAATGGTATTTCATAGGCCAGCCTGAAAAGACAATGTTGCCAATTTCTCTTATGGCTTGGGCTGCTTGGAGACCTTCCATGGAAAAGTTGCTATCTATCCTGAAGGGTGGGAGTCAGAGTCATGAAAAAGCAGTCTACCAGAGATCACAGTCATTCTAGGAGTCAAGTCCATGGGGAAAGAGAAGTCTGAGGACAGCATGCACCAGCCTAATATGAACACAAGGAGGAAAGAAGAGTCTGGGGTCTTAAAGGTCCACAAGCTACTTACCGTTTTAGACTTTCCCCCAAGAAGAATCAGGGACAAGAGTCGAAGGAGCAAAAAACAGACGTGCTTTTGCTACCTTCCTGATCTACCTTATATAGGATTGAAGAAGTGATAGTAAGAACCTCTTAGATTTCCTTTTCAAGGATCAAGTAGACATAGCTCAAATGTCTTGCCTTACTAATTAAACCTCTTTTTTTCTATTTATATCACAGGGGAATGTGGGTGGGAACAGCCAATTTTTAAAAACAAACCTCAACACACCTTAACTAGGGTTTCAGTTCTGCAAACGAACCCCACTTGCAGTGTGGAGAAGAGACCAAAAGCCTGGCAAAGAGGAGACAGTGGCTGAAATGAGGTGAACACAAATGGGGACGCTCTGTAAATTGAAAAAGGCTCCCCAGGTGTTAGTGACTGTCGTTTGAGGCAGGTCTACTGTTAACCTCTGAAGCTGTGGACGTGTGAGGCTGACTTTGGTCCAGAGTCGACCCAAAGTCAGTGTTAGACGGACACATTAGGCTCGTCCATGAAAGCGAATGGCTCTGCTTGGATTACTTTTCAAAAAAGCCTTGACCCTGATATTTCCCAGCTCTGTCTTAGATTGCATACACTGAGTCAGCAGAATGGAGGAAAGCCCCCAACCATTCCTAAACCCCAGATTTCAAATTTGCAGGAAAAACGTGAGGGCAGCCTTTGAGACCTCCCTCAAGGTTTTTTGCTTTTTGTTTTTGGTTTTCAGCAAATATTTGTTGAATCCCTATGTAGTCAGCACTGTGTTAGACTCTTTTCTTTAATCATGGTAAAAAACACATAACATAAAATTTACCATTCTAACCGGTTTTAAGGATACATACAGTATAGAGTGTTAACTATATGCTCATGGTCATACAAAAGATCTCTAGAACTCTTTCCTCTTGCAAAACAGAACTCTACACCCATTGAGCAAGAAGCCCCCCTTCCCCTCCCAACACCCTGGCAGCCACGGTTCTCTTTTCTGTCTGTGGGAGTTAGACTACTTTAGACACCTCTTGTAAGTGGCATCTTGCAGCATTTGTCTTTTTGTGACTGGCTCATTCCACTTAGCATAAAATCCCCCACTTTCATCCCTGGGTTCATCCCTGTAGTGGCATATGACAGGATTTCCTTGTTTTAAGACAGAATTCACAGGGTTTTTTTTTTTAATTAAAAATTTTTATTTTAGAAGCCTTCAGCTAACATCATCCTCAATGGGGAAAAACTGAGAGCTTTCCCCCTGAGATCAGGAACACGACAGAGATGTCCACTCTCACCACTGCTGTTTAACATAGTGCTGGAAGTCCTAGCATCAGCCATCAGACAACAAAAGGAAATCAAAGGCATCAGAATTGGCAAAGAGGAGGTCAAACTTTCACTTTTCGCAGACAACATGATACTCTACATAGAAAACCCGACAGACTCCACCAGAAGCCTACTAGAACTGATCCAAGAATTCAGCAAAGTTGCAGGGTGCAAAATCAACATACAGAAATCGGTCGCATTCTTATACACCAATAATGAAGCAACAGAAAGAGAAATCAAGAAGCTGATCCCATTCACAATTGCACAAAAAACCATAAAATACCTAGGAATAAACCTAACCAAGGATACAAGAGATCTGTATGATGAAAACTATAGAAAACTTATGAAAGAAATTGAAGAAGACACGAAGAAATGGAAAAACATTCCATGCTCATGGATCGGAAGAATAAATATAGTTAAAATGTCACTACTACCCAAAGCAATCTACACATTCAATGCAATCCCAATCAAAATTGCACCCGCATACTTCTCAAAAGTAGAATAAACTATCCTAAAATTTGTATGGAACCACAAAAGACTCCGAATAGCCAAAGTAATACTGAAAAATAAAACCAAAATGGGAAGTATCACCATCCCAGACTTTAGCCTCTACTACAAAGCTGTCATCATCAAGACAGTATGGTATTGGCACAAAAATAGACACATAGACCAATGGAATCGAATTGAGAACTCAGAGTCGGACCCTAAGGTATACAGCCAACTAAACTTTGACAAAGCAGGAAAGAACATCCGATGGAAAAAAGACAGCCTCTTTAACAGATGGTGTTGGGAGAACTGGACAGCAACATGCAGAAGATTGAAACTAGATCATTTTCTCACACCATACACCAAAATAAACTCAAAATGGATAAAGGACCTGTACATGAGACAGGAAACCATCCAAACCCTAGAGGAGAAAGCAGGAAACAACCTCCTTGACCTCCACCGCAGCCATTCTTACCTGACACATCCCCAAAAGCAAAATAATCAAGAGCAAAAATAAACTATTGGGACCTCATCAAGATTAAAAGCTTCTGCACGGCAAAGGAAACAATCCATAAAACTAATAGGCAACAGACGGAATGGGAAAAGATAGTTGCAAATGACATATCAGGTTAAGGGTTACTATACAAAATCTATAAGGAACTCACCAAACTCCACACCCAAAAAACAAACAATACTGTGAGGAAATGGGCAGAAGATATGAACAGACACTTTTCTAAAGAGGACATCCAGATGGACAACAGACACATGAAACGATGCTTAGCATCCCTCCTCATCTGGGAAGTAGAAATCAAAACCACACTGAGATACCACCTCACGCCGGTCAGAGTGGCTGAAATGAGGAAATCAGAGGACTCTAGATGCTGGCGAGGATGTGGAGAAACGGGCACCCTCCTACACTGTTGGTGGGAATGTAAACTGGTACAGCCCCTCTGGAAAACAGTGTGGAGGTTCCTCAGGAAACTAACACTAGAACTCCCCTATGACCCAGCAATAGCACTGCTAGGAATTTACCCAAGGGATACAGAAATGCTGAGGCATAGGAGCACATGTACCCCAATGTTCATAGCAGCACTCTCCACAATAGCTAAAACATGGAAAGAGCCTAAGTGTCCATCAACAGATGAATGGATCAAGAAGATGTGGTTTATCTATACCATGGAATACTACATGGCAATGAGAAACAATGAAATCTGGCCATGTGTAGCAACATGGATGGACCTTGAGGGTGTTATGCTGAGCGAAATAAGTCAGGCAGAGAAGGACAAATATCATATGTTTGCACGTATAGGAGGATTAGGAGGAACTTGACGGAGGAACAAGGGGGAGAAGAAGGGCGGAAATGGTGGGGGAAAGGGAGAGAGGCAAACCATGAGAGACTCTTGAATGCTGACAAAAACTGAGGACTGATGGATGTGGGGGGGAGGGGGGGATGGGCATGGAGGAGGACACTTGTGGGGATGAGCACTGAGTGTTATTGGAAACCAATTTGACAATAAATTATTTCTAAAAAAAAATTTATTTTAGAGCACACAAGCGGAGGAGAAGAACAGAAGGAGAGAGAATCTCAAGCAGCCTCCACGCTCAGTGAGGAGCCTGACACGGGGCTTCATCTCACGAGCATGGGATCATGACCTGAGCCGAAATCAAGAGTCAAGATGCCCAACTGACTGAGCCACCCAGGCACCTCTGAATTCAATTTTTTTAAAAATATAGTTTATTTGAATTCAAGTTTTTTAAAAGTCAAAAACCACACCCATGATGCGATCAGAAATAGTCAGTGGCTTTGAATTAGACAATTCAGGAGCCTTAGACTCTTTGCTGGGAAATCTCATCAAGATAAGTCATCTTTGGTTTGTCCTCAAATATATTCCCCTACATACCCCCAGCATTGTATGTTGCTGGTGTCATTGGTGAAAATTTTCTCTCAGGAACACCTACAGCGTTTCTTAAATTACCAAATGTCAAGTCAGCACTATTTCTGTCTTGCCTACATGATGTGCCCCAATGCCTGGTACAGTCCCTGACCTAGTTAGGTGCTCAGTAATGATTTGATGAATGGATAAATGAAATCAGCAAAGAAAAAAAAAAAAAAAAAGCTTGAAAACAGGATTAGCAACCGGCATCAACTTGTCCAGCCCTAAGAGCAGTTTCTGAAAATCAGTCTCAGGAATGTAGGTTGCTGACATTAAGTTGCCATAGAAACTCACTGAGATGTTTCTTTCTGCAGAAGGACTTACAATTGTCCACAGAGATTAAAAAAAAACATTTAAAAAAATCTTCCCATTTAAATGAAAATAACATATAGGTTAATCCAAGACACTTTAGATTTTCAAGCTACTTTTCTGATAGGAAATAAAGATAAGAGAGACCCAGTAAACACATCCTCTGAATCATCGAGGCAGCCATGATTATATGTAAATTCCAATGTGCACAATCTAGGGGTTGCAACATTCATTCACACGAAAGGACAAATGTTGTGCAGCTCCCCTTATATGAAGTCCCTGGAGTCATCAAATACACAGAGACAGAAAGAATGGTGGGTACCAGGGAATGAGGGTGAGGAGAGTGGGAGTTAGTGGTTAATGGGGGCAGAGTTTGGGGTGCCTGGGTAGCTCAGTTGGTTGAGTGTCCGACTCTTGGTTTTAGCTTAGGTCATGATCTCGAAGTTCTTGAATTCAAGCCCCACGTTGGGATCAGCGCTTATGGTGCGGAGCCTGCTTGGGATTCTCTCTCTCCCTCACTCTCTGCCTCTCCCCTGCTTGCACTCTCTAAATAAATAAATAAACAAACACACAAACTTAAAAAAGAAACAAATTTTAAAGAATGGGGGCAGAGTTTTAGTTTGAGAAGGTGAAAAGTGGTCTGGATGGTGGTGATGGGTGCGTAACAATGTGAATGCACTTAAAAATGGTTGAAACACTAAATTTTATGCTGTCTTTTACTATAATAATAATAAAAAGGATGTTGATTCAGTAGTCTGCATTATTTCGGCCACCAATTTGCACCTGCTCCCAGGAAAGAGTAGAAAGAAGATTTGAAAGTAGAAGACCTTAACTGCAGCCCAGCTCTGTCCTTCAGCAGCCTCGTGACTCTGGGCCTCAGTTTCCTCTTGTAGCAAATGGGAGTGATGTCAGCAGCTGCATTGCTACTTCCCGGGCTACTTTTGAGGACCAGGGGACCAAGCGCAGATCTGCAGACCTCTGAAGGAGTCTCTGAGTCCCCTTTTGAATCCCACCCCTCTCCTGGGATCGCAAGATGATTTCATCTGGTGTATCTATTCCATTCAACTAGTAGGGACTTGACTTCATGCAGAGGAAGGAGTGGATGTTGGGATCAGCTAGTAATGTCTGCAGGCAGAAAGACTTGGAAGGTGGAAGCAAAGAGCTTGGTGACTCTGGCTGGCCTGTGTATTTGGATTTTGCTGCTGCTGGTGGCCCTGGACTCTCAGATAACACTTCTGTTTCATTATTTGATGCTGTCCCCAACCAATCACCTGTTTCGATCCAAATCCCTGTTGTGCCTCTTAATCCTGCAGACTTTCTCTACCTGAGCCCCCACACTGGTCGACCCCATGTGACAACTCTCCAGCCACACTGGTCTGACCCATCTCCTGAGCCACTGGCTTGTCCTCCATGTCATCGCTGCCTGTGCCCAACCTTGACTGTCTTGTTGATGACCAGTTTCTTCAAAGTGTCTGAGACCCTCATTTCAATGTGTATGACCCAGTAGATGAGAGCACGCCTGACCCACTTCCTTGCTCTCTCAGTAGATGTCACCTCCTAAACACCCCTCAGCTTTGTCTTCTCTCCACACCCCACTCTCACACCCTTGCCCAAGCCACCATCTTGTCTTTGGGGAACAACTGCAGCAAGCCCTAACTGGCCAATCCTCTTCCACTTGGGCTCCCCTCCAACCTAACTCGATGGATCTCTTTAAAACCCAAGTCTGTTGGGGGCTCCTGAGGGGCTCAGTTGGTTAAGCATCTGACTCTTGATTTCAGCTCAGGTCATGCACGATCTCATGGTTCCATGAGTTCGAGCCCCACATTGGGCTCAGTGCTGATAGCATGGAGCCTGCTTGAGATTCTCTCTCCTTCTCTCTCTGCTCCTCCCCCCACCAAAATAAATAAATAAAAACTTAAACACACACACACACACACCCCCAAACCCCAAGTGTGTAATTTTTTAGCGCTGCCATAACAAAGGACTATAGACTGAGTAGCTCAAAACAACAGAAACCTATTGTCTCAAGTTTTGGAGGCCAGAAGCCTGAAATCGAGGTGACAGCAAAGCCACGCTTCTTCCAAAGGGAGGGATCCTAGGGGAGAATCCTTTCTTGCCTCTTCCAGCTTCTGGTCTTTGCTGGCAATCCTCAGCATTCCTGGGCTTGTAACTATATCCTTCCAATCTCCACCTCTGTCATCACATGGCCCTCTTCTCTGTGTGTCCTGTTCCTCTCTCTCTCTTAAAAGTTTATTTATTTATTTTCAAAGAAAGAGAGAGCACAAGCAGGGGAGAGGGAGGGGGGGAAGGAGAGAGAAAGAATCCCAAGCAGGCTCCATGCAGACAGCACAGAGCCCAATGCGGGGCTCAAACTCACGAACTGCGAGATCATGACCTGAGCTGAAATCAAGAGTGGGACACTTAACTGACTGAGCCACCCAGGCACCCTAACGGGTGTCCTGTTCTCATAAGGACACAGTCATATTGGGTTAAGTGTCCACCCTACTCCAGTATGGACACATCTTAACCAGTTACATCTGCAATGACCCTATTTACAAATAAGGTCACATTCTTTAGGTAAATGGGGCAAGGACTTTAGTGGATCTTGTGGGGGATATAATTTAACCTGTAGCACCAAGCACATGGCTCCCTCTCTTCCCACGGCCACCCCACGAGTCCGTCACTGGCTTGCATTTGTTCTTACGGTAAAGACAAAAGTCCTTCCCACGGTCCTGAAGGTCCTGTGTGATCTGTTCCCTGAAGCCTCCTCTGAACTCATCTCACACCATCCTTCCACCCGGAAGTCCTCAGCAACTTGGGGTGCCCACCCTCCCTCCAGCCTTTCTCCTTGTACTGTTTCCTTTGCCTGGAACATTCTCCTTCCTCTTGCCTTCAGTGTCTCATACATAGGCTTTTAGCCATCACTTTTTCCAGGGAGACTCTTCCCTGACTCCCAGCCTAGGTCAGACCCCCCTCCCCCAACTTTGCTGGATGAACAGAGGTGATTGGACCTCTGTGCTTCTCCCCCTTATAGCAAAATCACAGCTGCATGGCCCCACTTGCTGTGATTGCTTGAATAGAGTCTCTCTGTCCACTGGACAGCGAGACCTATGAGGTCAGGTTGAAGGTCTTGTTTGCTCAGCTCTGTATCCCCGGTGTGGATGTAAGTGAAGACCAACCAAATGAGAACAAAGGCCATTAATGCAGAGCCTCCTCTGAAGGGAGTGAGCCACCATCACTTGGGTTTGGCAGAGACTCAAAGGCAGGCAGAGGAGCAGGAAAGCTTATAGCCTAAAAAAGGGAGGGTTGATGCTGCCCTCCTGCCCTGACAGGAGGCTGTTGGCCTGGGAAGGCTGAGCATCCCATGTGACTGTGTGAGGGGACACAACCTGGCTTCCTCTGGTTGGTCCTAAGTTGGAAGCAAAAATTAAAATGAAGGAAGCTGGGGGCACCTGGGTAGCTCAGGCAGTTAAGTGTCTGACTCTTGGCTTTAGCCCAGGTCGTGATCCCACAGTTCATGAGTCGGTTTGTGAGTTTGAGCCTCGTGTTGGGCTCTGTGCTGACAGCATGGAGCCTGCTTGGGATTCTGGCTCCACCCCCCGCCCCCACTCTGTCTCTTGTCCCTCAAAATAAATTTAAAAAAATAAGTAAAAATAATACAACCTACTCTATAGGGTTATTGACAGGAGATACAGGTGGAGCACTTGACATTGGGCTAGGCACACAGTGAGCAAACAATAAATGGTGTCCATTGTTGCTGTTATTTGCCTTACAGCCTTTTAAAAACAAAAGATATTCCGGGTAAAGCCCATCTAAGGTGCTAGAAGGGATAGTAGTTACCCTTGGTGGGGGGGGGCAGGGACCGGGGGTGAGGAGGTTCTCCTGTATTGATAATGTTCTATTTCTTTTTAAAGTTTATTTATTTTGAGAGAGAGAGAAAGAGAGAGAGTTGGAGGGAAGGACAGAAAGAGAGGGAGAAAGAGAATCCCAAGCAGGCTCTATGCTGCCAGTACAGAGCCCATTGCAGGGCCTGAACTCATGAACCGTGAGATCATAACCTGAGCCAAAGTCAGATGCTTAGCTGACTGAGCCACCCAGGCACCCTGAAAGCTGACTTTTAATAAATGGTTGAGGGGGCACTTGGGTAGTTCAGTAGGTTAAGCATCCAACTTCGGCTCAGGACATGATCTCATGGCTCGTGGGTTCAAGCCCCACGTCGGGCTCTGTGCTAACAGCCAGCTCAGAGCCTGGAGCCTGTTTCGGATTCTGTGTCTCCCTCTCTCTCTGACCCTCCTCTGCTCACACTGTCTCTCTCTCTCTCAGAAATAAATAAAATATTAAAAAAAAATGGTTGAGCATGGAAGAGTGGAGGGTCCTGCTGTGTGACCTTGGCCTTGAAGTGTGGGGAGTGAAGGCTGTGGGACGAGTCATTGGCCAGCTGTGACCTCTCTCTGTCCTCTGGGCTGAATGATCACAGGGCTTTCAGGACTTCATTGAGTGAGACCCAGACACTCAGCTGTGGCACCTCCTGTGTTCATAGCAGGGCTGAGAAAGAGATGCTTAAGAGGAACCATTAGGTGACTGTGCCCTGTGACTGAGGGAAATTACCTCACAGGTCAGAAAAAGAACGTGTTCTGGCCCTGGGGTGTTTTGCCACCCCAAAATGTGCCACTTGAATTATTTTGAGCCAAAGGCAGTTGAGGAACAATAAACGCAAGAGGAGTTCTCTGATCTCTGCTTATCTGTCTAAAAGTAGGGCAAAAAATTCCCAAGTGGAAAGTGTTTTCCTTCTACCAAGAAGGGAGAGCAACCCATCTCTGGGGATGGAGAGTTGATGCCAGGAGTCATCTGTATAAACAGACCTTTCTAAAATACCCCTTATCTTCCATTAGCTCCCCATGTATTTCCTAGTCACTTCCCAATTGTTTATTCCCTAGGAGCCCAAAGCCTCTTCCTCGGTTTAGCCACTTCTTCAAAATTTATTGTTCCATAACACATAAACCCCTAAGTCTAGTTGCTCTTTTGAGTTTCGCTTCTTTGCTGCGAATGCCATACAAGTAAAATAATATTGTGCCTGTTCATAATTTTTTCCCTGTTCATCTGTCTTTTGTTGGTTTAATTAGCACATCCCAGTAAGAGAATCTAAGAGATTAGAGGAAAAAGTACTTCCTCCCCTACAGCCCCATCATAGAGAGGCTGCCCTGTCTGCCCCATCAATCTCATCACTCTATGTTTTTTTTCTCCAGAGCACTTACCACGATCTGGTTTCTTGTGCTTGCTTGCTTGTTGTCGATGGACAAACAAAACAGAAGCTTCTGGAAAGTAGGGACTGGGTATGTCATGTTTACCCTCAATCCCCAGGGCTTGTTATTTACTGGCATCAAAGTCTCCTGCAGTGGAGTTGAGAGAGCCTGACCTCACCTGAGGGACAATGACTAGTCATGAGGTGGACCTGGTGGGAGTCTGAAGTCTTACTTATATAATGGCCAATATGGTTAAAACCATCCGTCATGCTTTGTTATCCCCCAGCTGTTCCAAAAGAGTCTCAAATGTCTTCCAAGACTGCAGCAAATTATTTGAAAACGTGAAGAGCTCAGCTTCTTAAATGCCAGGGATGAAAAAGCAAGCAACACGGGAAAGCAACTTCTGACTGATGAGATAAGAAATCTGCCCCCGCCCATCTGAATTTTAACATCTAGCTGATGCATCTGCACAGGGATATGGAGGGACATCTAGTTACTGGAGTTTATTTACAAATGAGCTGTTTCTCTAGTGGAGGCTTTCCTTTCCCACTCAGAGAGACGTGGGAAACATTTATGAAATAGGTTTTCACCTGGGAGCTTAGAACAAGGCTCCTTAGTGAGAGGATACTGCTGTTTGCTAACAAAAAACCCGCACAGTGTCTTAGGGGTGAATGAAAAGGACAGCTTGTGGGTCTCACAACAAAATGAGTGAGAAAGGTATGGCAGCTCCTCAAAGGACACAGTCTGGGTCTGTAAGGGTTGACCTTCACTGGGGGTAGAGTTTTTAGGAAACCTTGGGTAGAATACAAGAGATTAGAGGAACCTGTGACCTCCTGTGGGCGTGGCCATGAAATAAACTTCAGAGCCAACCCCAGCTCTGTAATCTGTGGGACCCGGTGGAAAATTAAAGCGCAAGGCCCCTTGTTCACAAATTAAGAATTTCAACATGGCAGCAGCAGAGCATTAAACCAAGCGTGGGACCCTTCCTGGGGCACCTGAGAGGTTCTATGGGTTAAGCGTCTGACTTCGGCTCAGGTCATGATCTCACAGTTCGTCAGTTTGAGCCCTGCATTGGGCTCCACGCTTCTGGTACAGAGCCTGCTTGGGGTTTTCGCTCTTTCCTCTCTTTCTCTGTCCCTACCCAACTTGTGCTCTCTATCAAAATAAATAAACTTAAAAAATAAAAATAAAACAATAAAACAAATATAAATCAGGCATAGGGTCCTTCTAAGTGCAGATCACACCCACAGAGCCGCCCCCGCTCGTGACTTACGTTTGTTCAGCATGGCCTGGTTGCTGATATTATGTCAGTCGTTAGTCATCGGGACAACTCTGTGAAGTATTATTATCCCCGCGAGGAGAAGCGGAAGTTAAGAGACCTTCCAGGTCAATTAGCTACTTAAGCGGCAAGGCCTGAACTCATCCTTAGAATTTTCCTCGGTGTCAGCTGAAAAATTCCCAAGGCGGCCAGCCTTCTGGATTTCCACAACCACATCTTCCCCTAGAAAGAAAAGGGTTTAGGTTTGCTCTCAAGCCACTAGGCAAAGAATGACAGGCTCTCTAGCCCGGGTGAACCATCACCCTAACCCACCCGCTTACCTGCCCCGCCCTGGGAGAAGGTCGTGAGAGGTGGTCCTGAAGCATCATTACAAGTCAGGGAGCTGGTGGCTGTTTGGGAAGTTAGGCATATATATCTCCACCTATTGACTACCCTTGAGGGTTCACTTCAGATCTGGGGGTCATGCATGTGCTGGACCTGTTTCCTTAGGGGGAGTTTGTAAAAGCAGGACAGGATACCACACGTTAACAGTAGGGTAGCTTGACTTCAGTGTAATGTGTGTCTAGACATACAGAAACGCAGTCCCTGGCCAGGCTAGGACACATTCAACAAAAGAGTGAGCAAGCCTCTAGCCTGGCTTATGTATCTCTCTGACTCTCCGCCACTCACCCCCCACCCCGCCCACATCCTGTGTGTGTATGCGCACGTGCATGCGTGCGTGTGTGTGTGTGAAGGTTAAGTCATTTTGAAAATATTATTAAAAACATGCTCTTGGTAGAAAATGTAGAGAAAAAGAAAGGAAGGAAAGAAAGGAAGAAAGAAGAACATGGAAGAAAGAAATAAAGAGAAAGCAAGAAAGAAAAGGGAAGAAAAAAAGAAAAAGGAAGAAAGGAAAAGGAAGGAAGGAAGATAAGAAAGGAAAGAAGGAAGAGAAGGAAGAAGGAGAAAGGAAGGAGAAAGAAGGGAGAAGAGAAATGAATGTAATTCATCACTGGCTATGACAATGCTAATATTTCAGTGATCCTTTAAGATATATTGATTTAAAAAAATATTTTAAGCATTAAAATAGAGCCATGATCTCAATAACCTGCTTTTTCACTTAACATATTGTGAACATTTCCCCCGTCAATAAGTATAAGTCTATACACCATGATTTTTAACAGCTGTGTATAATTGTCTTGTATGGGAGGGGCCCTGATGTCCTCAACCTCCAATTATTGGACCTCTAGGTTTTTTCATATTTTTACTATTATAAGAAGTGCACGGAGCACCTGGTTGCCTCAGTCGGTTAAGCATTTGACTTCAGCTCAAGTTGTGATCTCAAGGTCTGTGAGTTCGAGTCCCACCTTGGGCTCTGCACTCACAGCACAGAGCCTGCTTGGGATTCTCTCTTTCTCTGCCTCTGTCCCTACCCCATGCACTATCTCTCTTTCTCTCAAAAAATAAAATAAACATTAAAAAAAAAAAAAGCAGTCCACGGAGGAACATCCCCATAGCAAAATTTGCGAGTCCATCCTTAGTTAATTTTTCTTTAGGGTACATTCCCAGAAGTGTCCTGTAACACTCATTGTTCAGCCAATATCTCTTTGGATGCCTTCTACAAGCCAGACATTGTGCTAGATGCTGGGTTTTAAACAACAAGCAATTGATTTATTACCCAGTTAGTTTCATCTAACGTCATGTTCAGTGGTTGCTGTGATTGGCAGAATTTCTATGGATGTCCCTCAAAAGTCCATACCCCAGTGCCCGGACCTGCAAAATATAATCACACTGATCACTAATGAATGCATACTTACAAAAATGAAGAATTATTTGCAAGACCTTGTTGTCCATGGTAAGGAGTTGGCATTCAGAGCAAAAGGGATCCACTGAAAGATTCCAGGGAGGGAGTGACTGAATTAGATTTTTATTTTCAAACAGGGTCTCTGGCTGCTGCATGAAGAAGGATCATCAGGGGCCAGAGCTGTTAATGGGAGCCAGTGAGAAGATGAGAGGGATAGGTGGAAAGTGCACATTTTTGAGTCGTCCTTTTTAAATTTAATGTTTATTTAATTTTGAGATAGAGACAGAGAGCAAGCAGGGGAAGGACAGAGAAAGGGCGACACAGAATCCGAAGCAGGCTCCAGGCTCTGAACTGTCAGTGCAGAGCCTGACGCAGAGCTCGAACTCACGAACTATGAGATTGTGACCTGAGCCAAAGTCAAATGCTCAACCCACTAAGGCCCCCAGGTGCCTCAATATTCTAACCTTTTAATTTTGAATTTCTGGAAGAGAAAACAATCTTGTGAAAGCATAAGGGTCATTCTGCTTTTAAATTTTTTCCTTTAATACACATTTTTGATGAAAATGTACTCAAATGTCATGTACTTTGAATACAAAAGGAGTGCGCGGGTGGCTCAGTCGGTTAAGTGTCCGACTTCGGCTCAGGTCACGATCTCACGGTCTGTGGGTTCGAGCCTTGCGTCAGGCTCTATGCTGAAAGCTCAGAGCCTGGAGCCTGCTTCAGATTCTGTGTCTCCCTCTCCCTCTGCCCCTCCCCACTCAATACTCTGTCTCTCTCTAAAATAAATTTTTAAAAAACCACTTAAAAAAAAAGTGCCTAAGGAATTCTGCAAACATCAGCCTGCCAAAAATAGAAGACAAACAAACAAACAAAGAAGCCGTGGATGTGGTTTTGGTGCTACGAGAATGCATATGTCAAGGTCGGATGATAGCACAAACATACACTCTCCTTAGCCTTACTCACCATTCACATGTGTATCACAAGTGTTCTCACGCTGGGCCAGCGAACGTCTGAGGCGAGCATAAGAGTATCTGGAGAAGAAAGGGTAGCTCAGCACCCCACCTGGCTCTGAGGGGTTCAGATGCGGCCAGAGGCTGTCTGGGAGGTTTTGCGGTCAAGGCAATGAGTGTGTTTCAGGGTGATGGGGAGGGCAACCATGGTGAGCAGAGGGAAGGATGTGGGCAAGCTGCCTGTGGCCTTGTGGGAAGTGTGGGTCCACGAGAGGATCTGAGAGCGCCCAGCACCCCCCTTGCAGGAACATTATTGCTTCCTTGGGTTTCAGTTACCCTGTCTTCTTCCTCTAGCTTTCTCTTAGGACCAGATTCCGAATGCTAACGGTCCAAGGTCAGCCAGCTGTTGGGACTTTGGATCAGCCACTCCTGGCTCCAGTAACAGCTCTGCTTGGCCTTCTGGGTACCTCTGGATTCTGAATGGGCTTCAGGCCTCACCCCGCCCTGTACCCCCTACCCCCCACCCCCAGCCTTCTTACTGGCACTCCGAGGAAGGCATTAGCAGCCTCATTTCTTACACAAATGTTGCTGGAGAGGACTGTTCTTCCTCTCCGCCTTCCCTTCTAATGCTTGAAAGTCATCGGAGAGATTACAGCGTCTCCGTCTGTTTTTTCCTCTTACAAATGTGCTTTAATTACTCAGTGGAATGCACGGCAAATGCGTATCAGTGCGTTAGCACGGAAGCCTTGAGCTGGCTGCGCCTGGCGGGCTTTGTGAAGCCCTGGGAAGAGAAGAGCTAACACCGACACGTGATGAAGGCTCCTGATCTATTGGCACCTTCTGAACTTGTGGGCTGTGCTCTCAGCTTCCAACAGGCTGGGTTTACCACCTTGTAGGACAAACCTCAGTTCCCCTGTGCCGCCCTTACCCTCCCCTTACTACCCATCACAACCCTTCTGACAGCAGATTCCCCACCCCAAACAATTCTGGGCAGCACCAGCTGGGTGCCCTATGATTTAACACAATTCTGACACAGGTCTACCCGGGCACGGCATCAGATCCCACAGGTTCAGGGCTCGGTCCCTCGGGGCCCCCCTACTTCAGCCACAAGTCATGAGTGCAGGTGCACCTGTGCTTCTGACCAAGTGGCTATAAATTGGAGGTTTTCTACAACCCCCTCCTCGGGTTTGACTAATTTGCTAGAGTAGCTCACAGTACTCAGAGAAATAGTTTACTTCTGAGATCACCAGTTTCTTATGAAAGAGTATATAGCTCAGGGATAGCCAGGTG